TTCGCTCTCGGCTGCTCCTTCTTCTCTCCTCCCTCACGTCCTTTCTTTTTCCCCGACCGATAGTTGCATTCCGCTCCCTCTCCGGTTAAAGCGGCGCCCTTAAACGTAAGCGCACATACGTATATCACTCACACATACCTTCGCCCCAGCCCCATACACATTCACTCATGCGTACGTGTATCGATACCCGCCCGGTCGGTACTTACATGACCCACATGAGCAGGAAGTTAAGCGATACTCGAAAACGAGGCGAACTCGAGTAAAACCGTCGGGGAGTCGCAAATCCGTCATTTCGGGCGAACGAGGCGTGTACAGGGTGCGTCATAAATAGTTGAATCCCCACGTCTCCGCGGAAAATCTATGTGTGTTCTTCGCCACTCCATTTTTGCGACGCATTCGGAATTTTAATTTTACTCGATTTAATGGAATGCTGAGGAGGAAATAACGCGGTCAAATTTACATTTTATGGGAATGGATCAATTGTGTCGTGTTAATGATACAGTAGTAATCGAGCTTGTAAGCCGGAATATAAATTAAAATTGTTACGTGTATGCGCATAATCGTAAAAATAAATGTTGTGATAAATGTTAATAAATTCGTAGAAATGAAGCAATGTGAAAATTGATTGAAATAAATCTGTAAAATGAACGAGATGATCGAATGGAAAACCCAATATTTTATATTTGAGTACGGTTCACGAATTTTAGCCTGCAGTGTCCGTTTATTAACGGTTATACTAATTTAAATAATCGCTTATAGCTCAATGATCTAAAAATCTAACCTTTTTTACTTGAGAAAGTATTTATATTTTAAAATATTTAGTCACAATTACTCAACTGTCCTTTTAAAGTTTTAAATTGGAACAAATTATACGAAATCAATATAAGCAGGTTATAAAAGGTGTGCTTTTTACTTTTTGTATGTCAATTGTGTTTTCAAACGTGTTATAAAATAATTAACTTCTCTCTCTTCCTCTCGTAACTGCATTTTATTTTTCTTATAAGTTATACATTTATTTTATCACTTTATTTTATATTTTACTAATTAAAATTGTCAAGTTCATAACACTTTATAAAACATTATAGAACGTTATACATTTTATGAAACAATACGGGATGTATACGTATCAAAGATTTCTGCATTAAAATATCGAACTCTATTATCGTTTCCAATCGTTCGATCTTCGCAAAACGCATCGTTTCCTCGATTATATCGCACACTCTCTCCATCGGAAGAAACGAACAGATAGAAGAGAAAATAGCTGGCGCGGTTAATTAAGCGGACTCTAGCAGAGACTAGTAGACCTTCCCTCCGACTGAAAACCTATTAGCTCGGCTACGAGCGATCGATCCCACGTTCCGCTTAAACTAATCTATATTTACGGTACAAAGATTGAACCGGCAATACAACTCCAACAGAGTACATTGCCGACCTTAAACTCGAAATAGCAACTACGTGTGTTGACTGAGTATTTTGAAAGGGGGAAAAAAATCCTCGCCCGTAAAAATATCAAACGACCCATAAAATAGATTTCTCGACGTGGGTTTTCGTAAAAAATGAAGGAACTGAACCATAAAGGTTGATTGAATTTATTTTACAGGAATAGCGATATCGGAAAGATGACACAGAAATATCGACTCGCTTTTGTGTCGCGAAACCGATCTAAAAAAAGATGAATAAACGTTAATCAAGGGTAGTTTTAATTTTTTTTTTTGTAAAGCCATCAAGCAATGTCGAAAGCATTCAATTATCATGTGTAAAATCGTACAGGTGGAACGTAATCGGACATAGATACAAAATTAAGAACCGGTGGTCTAGAGCGAGAGTATATATGTGAATTAATACGCTTATAAATTATGTACATGCGCAAATACCTATCGCCCCGGCTATTAACCGCTCGACAAGCGCAGTTCCCCTTTAGTCTCGCGTAACACACTCTCTCGTGTAATATCATTTCCGCATAAATCTTATAAAGCGCACGGCTGACGCGAACGACGGCGGCATGACTGGCTGGCGAGTCGCGCTTAAACCGCGAAGATGAGAGGAGCGTGATAAGAGGAAAAAAAGCTTGCAGGAAAATGGATGCGTCACGTACTGTAACTTACTTTACCGTACGAGTTAATCTAACTATGAAGTTTCCTATATAAGGGGGTGCGGGGTAGGCGCGCGCGCGCCCCTTCGCTTTCTCCTAAGTAGTTTAAGTTAAGTCAATGCTAATTTCGTTCCGCTTCAGAGAGGGGTAGGGCGAGATTTACGCAATTGGACGTACATCATGCTCTTCAACTATACCCTGTTTCTTCCGGTACGACCCGCCGCTCCGTCGGACTTGACGCTGATTAGTGTTCCTAATAGTCTGGATTAAATGGTGAAATCCGCACGACTTATTGTTCACGTCGTGAGGAAGTGAAGTTTTAACGCGGGTGATAATTCCGCAGCCTGGTAGTAATAAACTTCGTTGAAACGCGGGAGTGTTGAGGTAACTTTCGATAGTAACTTTTACGACTTAAATACCTGTTAAAAACATGCGCCTTTTAGAAATATATTTAGAAAAAGATTACAAAAATTTTAAACAAAGTTTTTAGGCGTTTCTATTCAGCTAGATTATGATAGCTTTTATATTACTTCCGATATTATTTCGGAGCATATTTTTTGCAGTTAAAAAGAGAGCTAACGTAATAGTTAAAATAATTATAAAGAATAAATTTTTTAATAAAATATGCGTTGATAGGCACATATGTAAATTACATATTAAAAAATGAGAGATTGTAACAAAAGCAAGAAATTATATTTGTTGTCGCTAACTCGCCCGGAAGAAAGGAAGCAGGAAAAACAAGCGTGTTTACGGTTAAAAATTCAATAGCGCTGCACTGATAGCTCGGCCGATGTCGGTCAGCGGAATCAATCAAAAAGAAAACGTACTTTCTCGCGCGAAAAACAACAAATTAATATTTAAATGATAAATGGCTTTGACAGGCTGGTGGCCCCATAATTATTGGAAAACGCGAATCTCGCGGCAGAATAACTCGAATGATTACCTTTCTCATCCTATTTCGCGTGTTGCGCCGTGCGAAAATATGAGGGAGGGGGGAGACCAGAAAGATATACCGCGCGCTTATTTAAAAGTAATTAAACTTCCTGCGTGTAATTTGAACTTGTTAAATCTTCACTATTTTTCTTATCTCATTTTTAAATTGATTTATAAGTAATCGCTATCTATCTATTTATCCTTTAAAATATGCAGAACATTTATAAAATAATTCATTATAATTTATGCGTCTGTTTTTATCGCTATGAAATCTTATTATATGGAGGATAATTAGAATTTAATTAATTGATATAATATCGGCAAAGAAAACAGTTTGCATTAACATAATAACTGAAAAATCTGCTTCTCATTATACATTGTCCTTGCTACTTTTTTAATTGCCAATCATTAATCTCGAAAAAAATCATCTCGATAAAAATCTCTTTATTTTCACTTTATTAATTACAAACAACTTTCTGTTTGTCGAAAATTTGATGCCACCTTTTGTTCAGGAATTTTGATATCATCTTTTGTTTAAGAACTTTAATATGGCTCTTATCATTTTTATAAAAAGAAAATATCAAACTTTCGCGAAATTTTAAAATTGCATCTGCAAAATTTCATGAAGGTATACCGTAATAAAGCAACGATCAAGCTGATAAAAAAAAAGGTAGGATATAAAGCTGCGATTCACATTTCTAATTAACGCCACATCACAAAATCTATCCGTTTTTCAATGAACCTAGCAATGAGAATTCCATGAGAGCGTGCTTCGGAAAAGCGGAAAGCGAAAGCGGGAATAAACGGTATTGCGCGAACCGTCGCTATTTCCGTCGTTTTCAAGCGAAGGAACGAACGCGGCGGAGACAGGTATATCTGCGAAACAGTCACATTTTACGATCTCTCCCCGCGGGCCATGAATATCGCAAGCATAAAAGCGCTACGCGGGAGAAAAACGAGGAGCTCGCGGCAGCTCCTATTTTAAAAAACGCAGCGGATAATTGTTCATGGATCGCTTTGAGACGGTATCGCGTCGATCTGCCTCGCCGCATTGTCGCAAACTTTGTGAAGAATTAATTCCGTAGTTGGATGCCGCGTGTATATATATATATATGTCAAGTATATATTCATCTATACGAGAGTCGTGTACGAGAAAATTGGACGGCATCAGAAAAGTTTTGTTGCCGTAACGTCTCTTATGCATGTTTATTTACAGGAGTCTAACTTTGCATAATTACTTTCAATAATTACGGTTAATGCTTGTCATTTTCGTAAATGTCTAATCTAATTGTAGAATTTTGTACCAAGTTTATGACACGGATTAACAATAATAATAACTTTTTGTCCATTTGATATGATACTTCAGAACTGTGAGCTGTCATTGTTTTATTTGCGGATTTTTTATTGAATTAACTGGATTTTATTTTAGTTGAACAGAATCGGTCAATTAGTTTCATATCTATTACAAGCAATTAGTAAACAACAAATAGATCAAAAGTAATATTTAACTTAAATGACAAATGGTTTTTATCATTTTTGAGCTGTATATATGTAAGAAGATAAGACAATTTATCTTTCCAATCTATTTTAAATAAAACTTGTTCTCTTAAGTCAGAATCTTGCTACAAATATCGTTTAACATTGAACATTAAAATATTGCATAGTTATTCAAATAGTAGTTAAACGAAAATTATTTCAATTTTATTAAAAAATTTATAGAGACGGAATAATAAATGGAAATTTATAGCGACGAAATAATAAATGGAAATATTATATAAAATAGAATATTTAAATAAAGAATAAAAAATATTTAAAAACAAAAGGTAACGATATTGTCATCTAATTAATTAAAAAATAATTCACAAGCCATCTATCGATCTGCAATAATTTTCCAGATTAACAAACTGCGAGGGTCAAAGGCATTCTCGAAAGTATAAACGAAAGCAACGATCGTAAGCCTAAATGAAGGGTTTACCTTAGCAGGATGTAGTCTATCCCCGATAATCCGTACACTTAAAATCTCCCGTAACAGCTAAACATCACGAACTGCCCTTAACGGCCTTCGGAAAACACGGTCATCACCTTTCAGCACCATTCACGATGGTCTTGGGGTGCGTCACTCTCCGTGGGAATCACGTGTCCAACCGCAAAACGACCGCGCAAACGGTAATTACGAATTTTTCAAGATGCACTTCAGAATCTCGCGACTGATCTCGCAGACTCAACAGTCCGTTCACCTTGTCCTGTCATAGTCACGCAATCTTATCCTCGTTTTTTCGTAAGATTCTGATTTTCGGAGTCAACCAGGAGGATCTCTTGTCAAAGTATCTTTGGAGAAACCCTCTGGATCACCTCCGATCGTCGCGGTGACCCAATCGAGCGTCTTCGTGTCAGTGCAGTTTTCAATGACGGTCACGTGGCGAGGGACTCGTCCGGGTACTGAACGGAACCGGCGGAACGCGTTGCACCGTCTCGGTGATCCGTCGGGGACTGCGTTCGCCACGGCTCCCCACCAGGCGTCTCGGGGGTTGGACGCCCCCGCGTCGGTTCGGCACCCCGACGCGCGACGTCGCTCCGCCTCCACGTGGAACGCCGAACCCCCACCTTGTGATTGTGCCAAGGGTTTGATCCCCGGTGGACGCCGGCGGCGTCGTCTTAAGTCGACCGCGACGCCGAGGAGACTTGCCGTCGTGGTCGCCGGCGAGCCGGTGAACAAGCTGGAACCCGGGGAGTGCTAACGATGCCATGGATAAAATATCGGTAACTTTGTAAGAAATAGATTTTCGTTTTCAATGAAAATATGCCGTTATAATGGAGATCACGCTCCTTATCAGTCTAAATGTACAAGATTTTGTTTTACTAAAACTTTCCATGAATGCGTAATTGAGAATTAATCAACTTTGAGATTAATCTTGAGATTTCCTGCCACGTTACTGGCATTAAAAGTAGAAAAAGGTAAACAGAGATAGACATTTTAGCAACAGAAGTAGAAAAAATAGCCAGAATCAGACACTAGCAGTAGTAGTAGAAAAGGGCAGAGTCAGACAAAGTCAGACTTTTCCAATAAGGCAAATCAAAGTTTAGTCAAATGTTTTAATTTTGAACAAAAAAGAGAAAATTTTTCATATTTCTCCAACATGAAAAATAATTTGGTAAAGAGCTTGAGAGAATCCATAATTATTTTATTATAAAACCCTTTACGCTGTGCGGAATACTATATTGGAATAATTTATCGAACAAATATACAAGCAGTGATTTAATAAATCGATAATATAATTTATTTTAGAAAGTCCAATAATCTCAAAAGAATGACACTATTCGCAAATTGCGCGTCATTTGCGCTAATGCGTGTACGGTTATACTGTGTCCATGGCAAAGAATTCCTCCGTGCCTTCATGTTTATTCAGCATTTTTAAATGGGGCCTCTCCCTTTCTCTCTTGTTATTCTCCACTCGCACCTTCCTTTTATTCTCGCCGGTGGTATTGCATTTTCTCGCATAAATTTAATAATTAAAAGGCGCGGGACATCGGAAACGCATTTAATATTGAAATAAAGTGCCACCGCTTTTCGCACGGTCAAATCCTATTCGCGTAACAAGATAATGCAATACGGAATTGAATTTATGCGATATTCATAGCATAAACGATTTGATTGCGGATGCGGCGGACGAATAAAAATTTTACACTCGGCAAATATACACCCACACCCAATTAATTTTCCCATGATACGCGACGCGTGAAACCCCTGGACTTTGCAAATGAATATACTTTCCATGGGACATGTGTTACGAAAATCTTTTATGCACGCGCGTATTTCCATAAAAATAAATTGTTCCGCTTTTCAATGTTTTACTAGTATTTCCGCGCACCGGCAAAGTTTGTTCGCAGCGATAAAAGTTCTTACTTTAAAAATGTTTCAAAATAAAAAATATTTTTAGCCGAATATATTTTTGTCGTTCTTACATTGATTTTATAATATTAAATATGCTGATTTTGTAATTCTGAGTATTACAAAACTTTCCTAACATTTTAGACAACCAAGACATATATGTAATTCTGTACGGAAAATTCTATATAGAAAAGTAAATCAATTAAGACTGAAAGAACACACATATATGGGCTTGGAATAAATTTTTATTAACTCGTAAAATTTTTCGTGTCGCTAAATACATTTTCGCAGTTCCAAAGGGATTGCCCCAGAATAATGAAAGGGGCAGGAATGTCCTGTAGTTTATAGTCCTCCCTTTAGAGTTATTAAAACTTTGCATCCGCGCTGACTTTATATTTCTGGTTGTAACTAGTAAATACATATTATGGCCTTTTATTGTGCTGATTTTACAAATGTAGCTTTTTATCTTTCAAGAAAAATAATCGAAAAGTATAAAACAGAATAATGTAAAAAAATTCCGCGATATTCTTTATAACGCAAGCATGTAACTGTACTGTTTTTAGCGAGCCATCCTGTATATTCAACTATTATTACTTCGTGTCCCAGACGCACAAGACAGGCGTCATTAGCAGCATTAGTAATGAATGCCCATCGAGGACAACGTGCGGTCCTACAAACTAATTGCGATCCCAAACATACACACTACGTCCAAAGCAGTCATACGTGCGCAAAAAGAGGCTGCAGATGCGTGCATATGCATAGAGCTCTTTACGCATGTATCACATCGGCTCCATTAACGAAAATTTCCGACCCGACCCCGTCTGTTCAATTTACGTTGAAACGCGATCGTAATCAACTTTGTCGATTGAGCAGATACCGATGTGCGCCCCTTAATATCAGGAAATTTCATATTTCCTCCATTTAAACGCATAATTCGATCCAAGTACATTAATTTTCTAGTCTGTGGCGGCGGTAGTCAATTCTATATATTCGTCCCAGAGAGAAGAGAGAATCTGTAACTGGAAGAAAATGTCGCGTTTTAAATATGATAATTAATAAACTATGAGATAAGTTTTCCCGCAAGACTGCAAAAAATGCATATATCTCAGAAAAATAATGTATTTGTTTTTTTGTAGTGTAAATTACATCTTCTAATTTGTTGATATAAAAAATTATATTATTATATTAAAAGACTTAAAATATATCTAATAATAGATACTATAATTATTTAATAATTTTTTTATTGTAATACTCTTTTTTTATCTTTTTACAAGTATAAAATATTTGATGCTTATAAGTATAAAAAATACGATATTATTAGAATATAGCAGGTGCATCTTATTTTCAGGTATCTAAAGAAACCATACACCTAACGGCAATATTTTGACAGCGGAACGTGAAACAACAGAGAAATCATACGTTATCGCGATATTAATAAAGAATATTCCAACTCTGCTGATCGCGAAATATTTTCGCGCTACGTTTCTCGAAGAACCTGAGATACGAGTGTTTTTCGATGAAACTCTCGTGGTGCGCGTCTTCCTTCTCTCGCCAGGTCCGAGGAAAAAGAGAGCGCAAGACATTCACCCTTTTGCTCTCCTTACTCGACTCCCTCGGGTCGAAGGTGGTGACATCGGTGTGTATACGTGTGTGTGTATGTGTGTGTGTGTATGTATGCGTATGTGTGTGTCAAGTGTTTTTATTCCATTACCCCAGCAGCACAGCACCATCCTCTTAACCACTTACTTAACCCACGACCTTCGGCCTTGTCTCCTCCGTGTTCGCGCTTGATGGCCTTCGAAAACTCAAATATTATCCGTCGTTCGATCCTGTCCCCGCTGAGAACCGGGACGCCCCAGGGGCCATAGGATCCTCGCGATTTCGTTCCCCTCGCTAAAGGAGGTGTGTCTTCCTTTCCCGGAACCGTCTTAAACCTAATTCTCGTCTCGGCTCTGACAGCGTCAATAATGTTTCTATCGGCCACCGTGATTCTCATTCGATTACTTGTCGCGAGTGCCGATACACCGTCCTCATTACACGCCTCACTGTCAATTCATGCCAATCTTTTTTAAGACGGCGGTGTTCGCGATCGACGAGACGATCTAATACTACCTTAGGCATCTCAGACAGCATGATTGAAAAAAATTGATTTAAGAAAAGTTTTACCGTTTAAAGTTTTTAACACTTATTGTTAGCACATTTTGACGCTGAAATTTTTTCCACAAAAGAAACAAATGTTTTAGTAAATACTAAATCGGTTCTTGTACGAAAATTCTTTCAACAAATCGGGATTTTTTTTCCTTAAAAATATTATAAAGATAAAAATAAATTTTATAATGGAAGGCGAAAAGAAATGAAATGTTTTAATAAAATATAATTCTCTTTATTTTTATTTTTGGAGATTTATTAAATTAAAGATTCAAACTAAATTTAAATATTTGATATTAAATAGATATATAAGTATCTAAAATAAATTCTACATAATTTATGAAAGATGTGACATTTATGGATCGTTGAATGAAGAAAAGTGTTATATGCACTTTAAAAAGTCACGATAATTAAAGGTTTTCTGTCAATTAGAATAAAATATTCATTCGACTGTGGATCTTGCCGGAAACGATAAAGATACGTCACGAATATGACGCAGCACGTAGCCGATTGAACAATAATTTATAAATGTGTCGCTGATTATACTTCGTAACACCTGTCTACATCCTCGTATTGAAGGAAATATCGCTTTTTTTCTAAAATAGAATTCGGTTTTATTCACAACGGAAGTTTTCCCGAACGAAATACGTATCTTTCCGCCTTTCTTTCGACCGCAATTTTTATCTCCGTCGATTTTGCGCCACGGTAACGCGAGCGGGCCGAAAACTTCGCACAATCGTTGCATCGTTGAAGTTTTTTATCGCGCGATGCGCATCGCACATTTGTGCGAAATTTGCGTCCGCAACACGTGAGACCGGAAATCTACTATTTCACTTCGTTAATGAAAGTGATATAACGTCCGGAATGAGATGCAAATGGCCGCGGGATGTGGTTGAAGTGTAGATACCGGCCGAATGGGTTTTTACCTAACGCCCCGCGCGCCGGCGAGCATAATGCGTTCCTTTTTACTCTTTCAAATCGGATCATTTCTATTTCTCTCTGTCAACCGGTCGTGTATTTTAATGCACGTCGCTTCGAAAAGGCGCAACTGGCCGAATTTTGAAAGCTTAATACGGTGTAACGCGCTGCCTCGAACGGAATAATTAAGAGCGTCCCGTATTCCATCCCGCGGCGCGGCCGTATTTCCGCTTTTGCGAACTTTTGCCTTTGCAAATCTCGTTGCATTAAAAGTATTAGCAAGCTCTTTCAGTAGATTTTAAACTTGCCGTGGATAACTTTAATCTTCTCAACTTTGTTTAATGCCGACACTTTAATTATTGCGATTTTTGTAAAAAAAAACGCGTATCACACAATCTTCCTGGATTTTAATATTTTTTACATCATTATATATCATTATATATACCCTTTTATATAGGTAAATGTATCTAGAATATTAAGATATCGCTTCTCTCTCTCCCCTTCTCTCTCTCTCTCTCT